TGTATGTCAATTCTAATACCTTCAGAGTATTCATGATTGATTTCTATTCCAAAGGATGGAACAAGTTAGGTATAAATTCTCACAGAGACACATAGTCGAGATTTTGAATGAATTCATACATATATTTACCATAGGAGATGATAATTACTAATAAAAGACTACAACAAAGTTGGGTGTCTCTTGCCAACAGATCCATACTGGTAACTTGTAGGCTACAGATCTATGCTAGCTGTTAAATGGCAGTTCAAAAAAGAAAATCACATTTCATTTCATTCAATGGTATCTTTTAGTATTAATCAACCCCAGACCTTTCTTAAATGCCATTCTCTGGAAATTTATTAAAGCAATTACAGATTGACCCTTTACAAGTTAATTAAAGCTTTGTTAAAATTCCATCCCAAACCCAAATAGAAACACATCACCAACTGATATTTTTGCAGAAATTGTCTAGACCATTCTTGTCGTTGACATCCTCATTTTCATGGTCAGAAAATGTCCTGGTATATGTTTGCATAATGACTGCAGTCTAAGCTGATAATTTATGTAATGGTGTTTTTTGTTTAAAGTTTAGATTTATTTATCCATGGCTCGCCCTTGTTCAAATCTTCTCCTTTGCACACATAAAACTGTCTCCAGGCGTCTATTGAGCGGGCTTCTAATACATGTCTTGTAACACAGGCCGTGTTTACTTTAACAACAAAATTGCATGCACAAAATATCCAAAAGGACTTTGCAGACCTGCATAAAGACTTGTGCTAACACTTTCTGTATACATTCACATGCTTGTTCCACAGATTAGAGAAAGACAGACTGTAATTGGCAGAAATGAGTTTATTTAAGAGTTCCATTGTATCAATAGGCATTGAATGTCTTTAGTTATTTGATTTCCGAGTCTTAGATGTTAGCCTTTCTCATCGTCTTAAGATGAAAGGAATTGTTTGAGCATGTTTTGCGTCATGTTCTTTGCTTTTCTGGCATTCTGCTACATTGGCCAGGAAAACCCTCGATTATTTCAGCTGCATTTGTGATTAACGTGTTTGTATTTCTTTGTCACAGTTTCCGCCAAATCATGGGCTAGGCTCCAGATTTAACTTTTGAAAAACATTGAGGTTTACTTCATAGAATCATTGACCCCCCAAAAGTTAAAAGAAGCCATTTTCAAAGTAGAATAGACCTATCAAATTCCACTTAGCTTAAATGTAATTGTGAAATGTGATTTGTGTTGGAAATGTGTATTCTTTGATAATCACTCCTAGTTCTGGCACATATTGTGATGGAGCTCACGATAGTTGTTTTCTTAAAAAATGAAAATTATGTTAGTGGTGGATATGAGTAGGCTACCAGTATGGTGAATGTAACATTTATGATTCTCATTTAAGGTATGAATGTTCAAGTGTTTATGGCTTAAATCCTAAAATAATCATGTGTTTTTGGTTAAGAAGAGTTGTTCCCAAGGTAAAGTAACTTGAAAAGAAAAAAATCAGGTCAATATGGGGACAATTTTAGTTTGTCAAAATGTATTTTTTCATGGGTTGAAAGATTGAATACAATGCCCATTATGTATTGTAGATGACTCAAATAACTACATGTGTGACAAAAAAGTGGAAGTTACATCATACTCTGTTTTTTACTAAAATAGTTCTCACACTCTTGACTTATTTTCAACCTGAATTCATTTGAAAAAGAAAAGAAAATCCTTTTCAACAATAACAAAAAAGAAGAAATAGGAAAGAGATTTTATGATCTTAAATACATGTAAGTCAATTTGATGCTCCATTTGCACATGATAATGAAGTGTCTATACAGAGCTCAGCTGTAATCATTTATTCTCACACACTACAATGATCTTGTGTTAAAGTTAATCCATGATCACAGTTCATTTGTAAAATTGTGATCTGTACTTTTCATGCTCCAGTTGTAGGCATTAGATGCATTTACCGTACAATTTGTCCTTCATTCTAGGAGGTACTTGCAAATCTTAAATATATGGATGAAATATGGTTTTGAATTCTTAACAGGAAAGAATATATATATAGTTCCTTTCTAATACTCGATAAAAGTAACGGATTATGTTTGATAGGGACCAAAGTTCTTTTCCAATACTTCATGAAATTAACAAGTCATTTGGAAAGGGATACAGCCTATAAACCTTACTATCATTCTTCTCTGATATCCCGTGAAATTTACAGATTAACTTTGATAGGGATTCAGAGTGAATGTTTGTCTGTTACTCATGTTCAAAATCACCTCTGCGCAAGTGGCTAGATTATGGTGCTCTGTATATTTCAGATCTAGTTGGATTGTGATGTTATTGTGATAGATCTTACAAAGAACGGTAGCTTTAAAAAGTGTTTGTCATTCTCTGCTTTCTCTCGATGGCATATTGTAGACTTCCTGAGTATTCTTACGGGCAAAAAATATCACTCTCTTGACTATTTAAAGTGTATTCTTTTTTTAATAATAACCAAAGTTATTAATAGCTCACAGACAAACACAGACAACATTTAATTGTCCCTATACTTATTTTTGTTTGAGTGTCTATCCCAAGTTATAAAAATAACATTGACTGCAGTATGGACTGTATTGGAGGGTTCAAGGGTAGGTAAGGAATTATTTTGATAAATGATTTATCTACTCACCGGAGCGGTCTGTTTCTGTCACTCTGAAAAGACAATCGTCATTCTGCTATTGGCAATGCAGACTTCCCTTCATTTCCACCACAGACAAGGATTATGAAAGGCAAAGTGTGCCCCGTGGAGGAACAAATTAGACACTTGAACTTCACTGAGGGCCTTGCAAGTGCAATTGTCATGGTTGTTTTGATAGAATGCCCTAAAATTGGTCATATGGATGAAAAGTACAATTTCTTTTGCTCTCATTTTTCTTAGCGTGGGCACCATGTTTTTCGATTTATATTTTGTGTTTGCGTATGAGGTAGAGCTTAAATGTACATGTACATGGTTATGTTACATAATGTCAGCTACATTTTGTAAGAGATACTTGATTTTCATTTTGAGATTAAGCTTCATTTGATAGTTGACCAAATTAATGATGATGACGATAATGATGATGATAACAAAAATAATAGTAACAATAGCGATAACAATAATGATAATAATGATTTTAATGATAATAACACATTCATCCACCTCTGTGACATTGCTTAGAAATACGATCCATAAAACATAGTTTACGCTATTTATTCTGAGTTCAATGCCTGTGATGGATTGCCCAAAATGTTCAGCCTTTTTAACAATGCTGTTGGAACTTTTGACATAACCGGCGGCTACCATTGATACCAGCCAAGTCCTGTGTAGGGGTTGATCGATAACCTGATAGGCCAAATTAAAAAAAAAGAATGTTTAGCGGTCCTGTTCTTAAAAAAAAAAATTTAAAAATCAGAAATAGATCTGTTTTAGCAGTGTTTTTCACGTTTTTTTTCATCAAAAAAAAAATCTAAAAAAAAAAACCTTTAAAAAGAATTAAAAAAATTAAAATATGAAGAAAAAAAAAGAAGAAAAAAAGGAGGCGGCCCCCAAAAAGGAAGCGGGCGGGGACGCTAAACATGTAATTTTTTTTAAATGGCCATAGATCCAACGATTTACAGGAGAGGGTGGTAGATCCACAGTGTATGACCAGCCTGGGCTCCCAAGGGACTAGACACCATGTCTGCTTTTCTTGTCTTTCTGTAAAGTCCAACCCTCAAACATCCATGTCAATACGCAAGAGATTAAACGCCACACTTTACCACGCAGGTAAATGGGCTGACCCTAACATCAAAAGACCATTAAACCATGGACCTACATGATTAAACAAAGCTTTAATGTCTAATCAGTCCAGATAGGCAGAGTGTGTGATAAGAGGGGCATTGATAATGGGATTTGGGGCTAGTGATACCCCTATTGATGATACCCCTATCTGTTAATGATAGGGGTGCTTGAGTGGACTCAAGTGTAATGGATATGGGTTCAGAGAATCAGTGTCTTAATTTCTTCATAAGCCATTCAAAGAGGGGTCTGTCCTTTATACAGGGTAACTGCAAACAGTTACATTTGAACCCTATCGAGATCACCATGGAAGAAATCAGAACTTTTTTACAGGTCATCTATGGCCTCTGGTAATCTGACATTTGCTGTGATACTAGTTTTGTTGCATCAAAATATTAGGGTTAGGGTTATGTATGCAATAAGGGTTTAGAAACTTGTAGTCTCAGTTTAGGTTTAGGGTTAGGCTTAGAATTATGTTTTGTGTTTTGTACAGGGTTGAAGTTAGGACTTTGGTTAGTTTGGAAATCGACTGCAGAGCAAATGTCACCAAAGTGTGTGTTGTGCAACTATGGCCAAGAGCTATCTACAGATTGACTGCAGAGCAATTGTCACCAGAGTGTGTGTTGTACAACCATGGCCACAAGCTATCCATAGTCTTACTCATAACAGGTGTACAGGGCCACCTGCATAATGAACAATTGCAAGAATGTTAATTTGACTGACTCATATAAACTAATTATTGAAAGGCGGAAACTTCTTTTACATTTTAAGAAGATGGTTTCTATTGTTTGATTATATTTCTATTGTATCCAGTAACCATGATGGCTATCTTTACATTATATGAGGTTGGATATTAAATGTGGAAAGATTCAGTAATGTTCATATGACACCTCTCATTCACAAATTAGTTCCTTCATGAGACACTACATCTCGTATATAAAGCAGATCACATTCTGACCATAGAACACACTGTGGAAACAGAATCACACTTTCATTCCTGTAGAGAACATATAAATATCCACATGGAGTGGAGATGGTGCACATTGTACATGAATGAATCCAATGACCTGGGTAATGAAATCTGTGCTTAGAGACGAGCGCTAGATATAAATCCACATTATAATTGTTATTATTTAGCTTTGAGGTTCAAACTGTCCTGAACGCTAAAATACATTTACATGTACATTTGTAGTTATTGATGTTTTTTTTTCTCATTTCTTTCTATCTTTCCAGATTATGAAATAGCTCATCCAGTTCAAGTGGATTCTTCAGGGGTCTACCTCACACATCATTTAAAACCAGTGAGGAGAAAAAGGAGTATAGACATTGAAGACATTGAGAGGACAAATACAAATATTTTATCATCACCAAACTTTACAGACTCGACAGAGCGGAAAAGTAAAAGTAAAAGTAGGCTTCAAGATTCAAGTGCCAGCAAAGGTAGCACGATTCATCTTAAATTTAATGCATTTGCTCAGGAATTTGTGCTGGAGCTAGCGGCAAATGAGGAGCTCACGGCACCTGGATTTAAGGTGCAGCGCCGAAAGGATGGCAAAACGACAGTGGAAGAGTACATTCCGGAAATGGATAGTTGTCACTACCATGGCAGGTTAACCTCTCACAAGGATTCATCGGCAGCAGTTAGTCTCTGTGATGGCATGGTAAGTGGAAATGCTCCTTTTATTTGTTTTTCAACCTCTTTAATAACATGTTATTTGGCCTTCTTCAACAACCAAAGTTTGGAACCAGATTGATCTCAAAGTTCACAGAGACTTTTGAAAAATCAACCTTAGACATTTCTGATAGCCTTGTCTATCACTTTTAGAAATGCACAAACATGACAAAGAAATATTACGTACACTGTAATCTGAACATGACTTTTATGTGATCTATACAATAGGTAATTATAATTGCCCTTGAATCCAATTCTCAGAAATCTTTGAGATCATGTTCACACTAGGCCTGTTCTCATCGGACCGAATTTGCAAATACCGGTAATCTGGTATTTTCCCAGAAGCTTGAAATTGTGTTTTCACCAGACCGATACACTCATAGCCCGCTATTTCTCAAATAGCGGGCTATTTTGGAAACAAGACCAAGATTTCTCATGATATTTTCTCAACCAAATAACCCGCTACTTGCAACTGCGGGCTGATGAAGACGCAAATTAGCTGGCTAATTTGAGATCGGGCTAGTTAAAACTGTGGGATATTTTGCAACTTCGGTCTGATGACGTCAGACCTAAAGGTATTGCCCTGATCCGGAGCAGATTGGGCATTCTTCAGAAAGAGAGTGTGCCAAACAAGTTTATAATTTTAAATACTGCATAGACAGTCATTAATCATAATAATTAAACTCGTCAACAAAATATTAGGAATTTGTATTTTGGTTAATCATAGGTCTATTTAACACTATATTATACAATCCCTTGTAAGTCCTTTTGCCCTATAGAAATTCAGTGGATGAGAATTACTGGCCCCTACATCAAGGGCTTCTGATGACTGGTTGTAAGAAAGATTAATGGGCTAGTGGAAATAACAGAAGCCATGGAAGTATTGACTGTATCTGATTGCCTACATGTTGTTGTTGTTGTTGATTTCACTCCTGGTATTTATGATCTGTTTACATGTTATGCCTGATAAGTAAGTAAGTTGTTTATTTGTTTTCATCAAGATTGCACTTTTTTGACAATTTTGTTTTTCAAATTCCGACTTCCTTTGTCGGCATCAGAGCATATCAATTAAGGTCTGCTCTCTTTTGTCAAAACTCAAAGTATTTAAAAAATATGTGTCTAATTGTGACAGTGTGTGATGCTTCAAACAAAATTTGTTGTGATTATTTGTAAGCAAATATCTAAGCTATGATCTCAGGAGCTTGCATTTATGGATCACTTCACGTGGAATGTTTGATTGAAACAATGATTTTTCTTGTTTTCTTTATTTTGATTGCCAGCTGTCAGATGATGATGATGAAAATAAAAGAGTTAAAGTTTCTAAGAGAGAAATAGAGAGAGAGAGAGAGAGAGAGAGAGAGAGAGACATTGCAAACAGCGGTCAAGATGAGAGGAAAACAGTTGTTTACCAAATTTCCAAAAGTATGCAATACTGAAGTGATGATTGCATTGAAAATGTTTAAAAGACTGTCAGCAGAAAATGATTATATTTAATCTTTGAAAAAAGTTTGGCCCACAGAAAAACTACATACATGTATACATGTATGTATCGGCTTTATACAGTCTTTATCTGTTCCAAAGTCGTTCAGACCTAGAGAGCTGAATTGCAAGGTTAATAAAGTGTACATGTAATCCCACTACTCTATATATATCAATTAGGAGATTATTGTATCGCAATCACACCTTAAGTTGGTCATTATGTCATTAGGTGGATAGCATAACTACATGTACATGTTATACTTTAAGCAGAGCAGGAGTAAGTCAACTTTTTTGCATCTTATCTAGACTTGAAACAAGATACGCAATAAGGTGTACAATGTTGTTTGATAAGTTTTTTCAATTTTCTTCTTCCCACATGTTATGTTTTTCTTAATTATAAGTAATTTACTTTACAAATGTAATTTGAAAAAGAAAAAATACACCCCCCTCGAATACTCATAATGTTTCTGTATTTTACACACATAGATCTGTACACTTGGCCTTTAAGCCCCACTGCACTACATATAGCTACTAGCGCCCTCTATACATCCAACAATGCCTCAGTGGTACCCGTTGATCCCCATGATGCCCTTTTCCTTATGTTAATTGAGAGCTGATTTAATGAGATAACCACCTGCCAGTGACATCGCAGGGATGTCTAATCCCTCCATGCCAAACTAGTGCAGAGGAGCTTTAATATATAGTTTATGGGTCATTAGGCCAATTGCCAAACATCAGCCCCAATCAGAGGGATATGTTATTTGTTCACCTGAATGGTTACCATAGCTGCCCCTTGCAAATCGAGCTTTAGCACTCAATCTACAGTTCATCCTACAGTCATTTTAAAGTTAATTATGTTATAGCCAGCCGTGGCAAATCCTTCCAAACTTAAGTTTAACACGATCAAAGGTAGTTTCGAAAAATCAACTCAACAGCAATTTTAATACCCCATTGTACATCCCATAGGAATTATGTTCGGATTATGTAATACATCATTGTCATGTTTGAACATAGGTGAGCCACAAGGCTATTGCTATTGTCTTAGACTGATTTTTAAAAAAGTAGTTAGAATCATGTTATTTGTGTAATGTGTACACAACACACTTAGATTATGTTTTATACATAGGAAGAGCATGCCTTCTCTTTCAATAAAAATAATAATTAAGTGATTCAATGGAACAGTGTCCTTTCAAGGTGAAAAAAGAGGGCGGGGGGGGGGGGGGGGGTGGCCATATTTAAAGAAAATTACTCCAAAAGTGTAGTTTGTGATTCAAACTTTATGATACATGCAGTAAGAGTTGAGCTTTCTTGGCCCCCAAGGCCTGAACAAAATTCGTATCAGAGAGCCTAGGTCATGAAAGGCTACATAGCCCATCCCAAACCAGTTTGCTAAAGAACACACCGAGAAGTTCCAAATTGGACAACTCCAAGCCAGACCCTGAACGAGCTAAGATGCCCCAAAGCAAACTCTCTGACTTTCACCCCTAAGAGGATGCCGACGACAAGATTGTCTGATCCTGGCCGACGGACATTGGATTATCCTCCCAATTCTATTGCCGAAGTTTGCTCGGGCCAACAGGCCATGTTTGATATCTGGAGTGTTTTCTCATACAGTTTCATATTGCTAGAGCAGAGTAGAGCTGCTAAAAATATCTTAGGCACGTGTGGGAGTACTAATTTGTTATTTCGGCGAGCTGCAAAGCTATGATATGTGTGCACTGCACTCTCCGTGTCCATTTCTAATCCATTTCTAATCCATAATACCAATTTGAATTGGTATTATACAGCTTTTCTGTTTTTCACCTCTTCGATTCAACCCTAGTTTGGAAAACAAGATAATGAATGAGTGTCGTAACCCATCAGCAATTTATCATGATGTTATCAGTTGTATTGGGTTGAAATCTTTAATTAACTTTGAGGTTGACAAGATGTTAAGATGGTACATGTTCTTGTTCTACACATGCAGCTGAGGTATTAAGAGCTTAGCTTGTGTGCCTGATACTAAACCTAATAACCTTGGTATATACCGGTAATTAATCTATTGCACTGGTAACAAGTGCAAAGGTGTGATTTTCTTTACACATTTTTGCTGTGGTAAAGGGCAAGATCTTAAATTGTTTTCTTCAGCGAAAGAGCAAATTCTTTCAGCCTTTTTAATCTGTTATTTGAACTGTGATTGACTGATTGTGATACTTTTTAGCTCACTGCTGTTATATAATTAAGGAAATGGAAATTGAGGAATCCCGAGATAAGATGTCCCAAACGAGGTCATCATAATGTCCCTCTTAAACATCATTAGAAGATTACCTTAATTTAAAATCAGATTTTCTATGTTAATGGTGTACCGTACATGCCTGGTTGAACTAGTTTAGAAAAGACATGAAGTCTTTATTACATAATTGTAATTGTTTTATAATGTTTATTGTACATTTACAATGACAGTGATTATGAGTTACTATTGGCATACATGTGTCCATGTATGAATATGGCAGCAAATCTCTTGTAATTTTTTTAAATACAAGAATTTAATTTGCTAATATTAGAATCTAGCTCTAGACTCCGTGGAATGAACTATTTTTGTCTGTAAAACCCGATGATGAATGCTCTGATATATATGTCTGAGGCATTTCCCGCAGCCCCTTTTGATTTGGCCCGACTCTGAGGTCTAATCCCTCAGTTGTTTGGGGATTAAGATTAAAAGGGGGCTGACTTAATCCCTGAATAATATTTCATTTCCGTTCTGCCTTTCCCCCGAATCCCACTGCAACCGAATAGAAAGATAAAAGATGATGGATGTAATAGGGTGCTGAAAGCTGTCCAACCTGGGAGGCTATGGGGAACATAATCTTTGTTTGCTTGTGAATAGTTCTGCCAATGTAGAGAATGGACTAATCATGATAAATGAACACACTATAGTATTTGAAAGCATTATTATGTTTTTAATGTAATAGAATGATGTAAAGTTTGAGAAGGGAGTGTAGTACAACCCCCCCCCCCAAACAAAAAAAGGTTTTCTTTCCTGTTGTTGTGGATTATAAAAAAAGAAACTGAATCCTACGCTATCAAGGCTTCAATATACAGACCCCCTTTTCCTCATTTTGTCCTTTTGAAAGCCAGGAGTCCTGGTATCAACTGTGTGCTATGAGAGAGTTAACACTCTTCTGGTTCTTAACATACAAATAATGTAGCTCTTTCCATAGAAAAGCCATCTTAATTATCATTTAGATCATTACCGTACCATTATAACCTGTGTACTTTGAACATGCAGTGTTAGGAGGATGTAGGCTTTATCAATGGGTGGGCTTTTATTCACAAAAAACTTCCATCCTAACAAAATGAGCTGCTTCTCCCCCTAGCTCCCCCCAAACCCCTCTCTCGTGTTAATTTATCTTTTCATCAGGTACAAAGCATGGAGAAAAAGCCCCTCCATGTCCGGCAGCTATGCAAGTCAAAACTAGGCTTATTATATCCACACACACAAAAAAGAGTCCATATATTTGTCCCACCCCTTTAAAACTTTTCAAAGGCTTCAATTGACAATGAAATGGGTCTCTTTCTTTTCTATGCAGCACGGAAACTCAAACTGTTTTGGGAGTGAATTGT